GTTATGTGCACATCAGACAGCTTGATAGCAAACAGTCTTTTTCTCTTTGCCCTGAGTGGTGTCAGTTGCTATGCCTTTAAATTCATGAGTCTTTTCTCTTTCAGTGTTTATTTGATGTTAATTCCATGCAGTGCATTTGGTTTTCATTTCAGATAGTGTGTCGACTGTGTCTGGAACTTCGTTTGGCTCTTTCTTTATCTTCCATTTCGTCATCAGGCTCATGTTTCTCTCTACCTTCTTAAATACATGAGCTTATTGTTGTTAACTGTTGTCTGCGAGTTCCTTGATCTGCCGTTTCTGGGTCACTTTCTCTTGACCGTTTATGGTTTAGGTCGTATCTTCCTCTCTCTCTCGCATTTCTGTTGCAGCCATTTATTACTGCCTCTTGGCCGGGCTCGGTGGCTCACGCCTGTAATCCCAGCACTTTGGGAGGCCGAGGCGGGCGGATCAGGAGATCAAGACCATCCTGGCCAACATAGTGAAACCCCGTCTCTACTAAAATATAAAAAAAAAAATTAGCTGGGCGTGGTGGCGTGCGTCTGTAGTCCCAGCTACTTGGGAGGCTGAGGCAGGAGAATTGCTTGAACCCAGGAGGCGGAGGTTGCAGTTAGCGGAGGTCGAGCCACTGCACTCCAGCCTGGCACCTAGCAACAGAGTAAGACTGTCTCAAAAAAAAAAAAAAAAAAAAAAAATTATGATTGCCTCTCAACTCTAAATCCACCCTTCCTTGGCTCTTGTGATACTGAACGTTTCTCCCTTGCCCCACGCTGGTTTTTGTCAGTGAAAAGTGCTGGGGAGAAAGGGCATGTCTTTGTTCTGTGGGGCACAGAGGGTGCTCACGCAGCTTTCAGGAAGGTCCCATAGCACCCCAGCTAGCCTCCTGGGAACTTTCTGGTGAGTTCAACAGCACCCCACCCCAACCTCCCCGCTTTCCAGCCCTTCTCAAACAGCCTTCCAGCCCATTGTGTTAGCACCCCCAGCTCATTGTGTTAGCACCCCCAGCTCATTGTGTTAGCACCCCCAGCTCATTGTGTTAGCACCCCCAGCTCATTGTGTTAGCACCCCCAGCTCATTGTGTTAGCACCCCCAGCCCATTGTGTTAGCACCCCCAGCCCATTGTGTTAGCACCCCCAGCCCATTGTGTTAGCACCCCCAGCCCATTGTGTTAGCACCCTCAGCCCATTGTGTTAGCACCCCCAGCCCATTGTGTTAGCACCCCCAGCCCACTGTGTTAGCACCCCCAGCCCACTGTGTTAGCACCCTCAGCCCATTGTGTTAGCACCCCCAGCCCATTGTGTTAGCACCCCCTGCCCACTGTGTTAGCACCCCCAGCCCACTGTGTTAGCACCCTCAGCCCATTGTGTTAGCACCCCCAGCCCATTGTGTTAGCACCCCCAGCTCATTGTGTTAGCACCCTCAGCCCATTGTGTTAGCACCCCCAGCCCATTGTTAGTACCCCCAGCCCATTGTGTTAGCAACCCCAGCCCATTGTGTTAGCACCCTCAGCCCATTGTTAGCACCCCCAGCCCATTGTGTTAGCACCCCCAGCCCATTGTTAGCACCCCCAGCCCATTGTGTTCGCACCCTCAGCCCATTGTGTTAGCACCCCCAGTCCATTGTTAGTACCCTCAGCCCATTGTGTTAGCACCCTCAGCCCATTGTGTTAGCACCCCCAGCCCATTGTGTTAGCACCCTCAGCCCATTGTTAGTACCCTCAGCCCATTGTGTTAGCACCCCCAGCCCATTGTGTTAGTACCCCCAGCCCATTGTGTTAGCACCCCCAGCCCATTGTGTTAGCACCCCCAGCCCATTGTGTTAGCACCCTCAGCCCATTGTGTTAGCACCCTCAGCCCATTGTGTTAGCACCCCCAGCCCATTGTGTTAGCACCCCCAGCCCATTGTGTTAGCACCCCCAGCCCATTGTGAGTACCCCCAGCCCATTGTGTTAGCACCCCCAGCCCATTGTGTTAGCACCCCCAGCCCATTGTGTTAGTACCCTCAGCCCATTGTGTTAGTACCCTCAGCCCATTGTGTTAGTACCCTCAGCCCATTGTGTTAGCACCCCCAGCCCATTGTTAGTACCCTCAGCCCATTGTGTTAGCACCCTCAGCCCATTGTTAGTACCCTCAGCCCATTGTGTTAGTACCCTCAGCCCATTGTGTTAGTACCCTCAGCCCATTGTTAGTACCCTCAGCCCATTGTGTTAGTACCCTCAGCCCATTGTGTTAGTACCCTCAGCCCATTGTTAGCACCCCCAGCCCATTGTTAGCACCCTCAGCCCATTGTTAGTACCCTCAGCCCATTGTGTTAGCACCCTCAGCCCATTGTTAGTACCCTCAGCCCATTGTGTTAGCACCCTCAGCCCATTGTTAGTACCCTCAGCCCATTGTTAGCACCCTCAGCCCATTGTTAGTACCCTCAGCCCATTGTTAGTACCCTCAGCCCATTGTTAGTACCCTCAGCCCATTGTGTTAGTACCCTCAGCCCATTGTTAGTACCCTCAGCCCATTGTGTTAGTACCCTCAGCCCATTGTTAGTACCCTCAGCCCATTGTGTTAGCACCCTCAGCCCATTGTTAGCACCCTCAGCCCATTGTTAGTACCCTCAGCCCATTGTGTTAGTACCCTCAGCCCATTGTTAGTACCCTCAGCCCATTGTGTTAGTACCCTCAGCCCATTGTTAGTACCCTCAGCCCATTGTGTTAGTACCCTCAGCCCATTGTTAGTACCCTCAGCCCATTGTGTTAGCACCCTCAGCCCATTGTGTTAGTACCCTCAGCCCATTGTGTTAGCACCCCCAGCCCATTGTGGATTGGCCTTCTGGCTCTGTTTCGATGCTCACTGGGAACCCGAGTTCTCATTGTCAGGAACTCAGGCTGCGGGTGCGCCAACCTCCCTGTGCAGCTGAGAAAGCGGCTTTTAAGACAAGCTTCTTTTCATTTGCATCGCTCCTAAAAGCAGAGCTCACACAAGCAGCAGCACTGGGAGTGTGTGGGGAGGGACGGGCAGCCAGCTGAGGCTGAGCCAAGATGCCACGGTTCAGGCCCACACCTCATGCAAGGCAGAAGGCGAGTGCCAAGCTTCCGTAGCAGGCTGGGGTGGTGAAGGGGTGGTCTGCGGAGCGTGACTGTGCCGCTGTTGTGAATCTTTGCGATTCAGATGTGTAGTGTTCTGAGAAATTTCCCATCCTGGGTTATTGCTTTCTTTATAATGAAGAGAAATAAATTCCTGAGCGATGGTGTGCCCGGGCTAGGGTAGCGCACTGGGCCGTGGTGACTGCATCCTCCTCAGGTGTGGGGCAAGGGCCAAAGCATGGTCATGGCAAAGACACTGGCATTTTACCTGAGCACAGGATAGTAACCCTTTTTGGATTTTCTGTTTGTTTTGAGATGGAGTCTCGCTCTGTTCCCAGGCTGCAGTGCAGTGGCGCAATCTCGGGTCGCTGCAACCTCCGCCCCCTGCCTCAGCCTCCTGAGTAGCTGGGACTACAGGTGTCTACCACCACGCCCAGCTGATATTTGTATTTTTAGTAGAGAAGGGGTTTCACCATGTTAGCTAAGCTGGTCTTGATCTCTTGACCTCGTGATCCACCTGCCTCAGCCTCCCCAAATGCTGAAATTACATGTGTGAGCCACCAAGCGCAGCTGGTAGGAGCTCTTTATCCTCTAAGATGCTTTGTCCCTGGGGCCAGCAAACACCTCCCATGGGAGAATAGAGCAGGAACCCCAAATTTGCCAGCTGAGGGCAGGTAGGCCTTATGGGGCTGTGGGAGCCACTGCACTGCTGGGAGGTTCCAGTTAGCTGAAGCCCAGTGTCCAAGTGCCACCTGGACACCCTGCAGTGTCCTCCTGCTGAGTTCGCAGGAGTTTTCTCTGGGGGGCCTCTGGGGGTGGGGCACTCTTGCCTGGCCTGGAGCTCCTGGGTGGGAGGTGGGTTTGTGGCTCAGCTGTGTCCAGCGGTGGCTGGCTGTGGAACACCTCCTCTGCTTTAGTAATACTTTAATGGGTGAGAAAGACCACTGTTTTCCGGGCTACGCTTCCTGGAGCTTGGTTCCTGGAAGCCATAAACGAGGGTAAATGGGTACCTGAGTAAACGCAGCAGAGCAAATCAGCCTCACAGGCCTGGGGCCATTGCGGGGGTGGGGTTGGGTGGGGAGAGGATGTCCTCTGACAAGGTGACATTTAAGCTGAAACTGGAATGACAAGAAGGCCCCAGCTCTCCAGGCAGAGGGGAAGGCTCAGGGATGAGAATCCAAGAGGTCACAGTAAGCATTGGGTTTCGTGTTAGGGACAATGAGAAACTGGTGACAGATTTTAAGTCGGGGAATAATGAGATCTAATTACACATTTGCAAGATATTCTGGGAGCTGTGAGGACAGTCGGGACAGGTACCTGGAAGCAGGGTGGCTACAGGGAGAGGCAGTGGTGACAGGGCTGGTGTGGAGGCTGCAGGATCTGGAGGGCATAGGCTCAAGGTGCATCAGAGACAGGGCTGGCGGGGAGCAGAGCCCAGGATGATCTCAGGTATTCTAGCACCTGGATGCTGGTGGGCCACAGACATGAGCAGGGAAGGCCAGGGAGTGTCTCATGCCCATCAGACCTGTCTGAGGGGAGATGTCCCATCCACGGCTGGTCTGGGACAAAGCCCCTGCTTCAGAGGACAGCAGGGGAGTGTTTGCTGAGCAGGCGTAAGCAGAGGGTCTTTCTAAGATGCAGATCTGGGCATTTAATTGTGTGTGTGTGGTTTCATTTTACCATTAACTGTTACCTTAGTTTTGGATGTGGCATCATATCCAGCAGTATTGCTTAAAAACCTTTTGATTTATAGAATTTTAAGAAACTAATCATGCAATTCTTTTTTCTTTTTTGAGACCAAGTCTCCCTCTGTCATCCAGGCTGGAGTGCAGTGGCTTGATCTCTGCTCATTACAACCTCCACCTCGGGTTAAAGCAAGTCTCCTGCCTCAGCCTCCCAAGTAGCTGGGACTACAGGTGTGTGTCACCATACCTGGCTAAGTATGTTTAGTAGAGATGGGGTTTCACTGTGACCTCCTGACCTGCCCACCTCAGCCTCCAAAAGTGCTGGGATTATAGGCATGAGCCACCGCACCCGGCCTTTTTTCTTCTTTCTGAGATAAGGTCTTGTGCTGTCACCCAGCCTAGAGTGCAGTGGTGCAATCATGGCCCAGTATAACTTTGGCCTTCCAGGCTCAAGCAATCCTCCTGCCTCAGCCTCCCAAGTAGCTGGGACCAGAGATATGTGCCTCTATGCCTGGCTAATTTTTATATTTTTTGTTGAACCAATTTCTTGCCATGTTACCTATGCTGGTTTTAAACTACTGGGCTCAAGCAGTCCTCCCACTATGGCCTCCGAAAGTGCTAGAATTACAGGCATGAGGCACCACGCTCAGCCAGAAAATTTCGGCATATTCAAAAGTAGAGACTACGATGAAAACCCTTCATGTACTCAATACCCAGCCTCGGGGTAATTGTGAAGCAAGTCCCAGGTACCAGACCACTTCATCTTTTGGTATTTTACTAATAGCATGTGACTCTGAAATATAAGGCCAGGTGCTGTAGCTTACACCTGTAATCCCAACATTTTGGGAAGCCAAGGCAGGAGGATCACTTGAGCCCAGGAGTTTGAGACCAGCCTGGGCAACATAGTGAGACCCCCCCCCACCCCATCAAAAAAATTATTTTTTTAAATTAGCCAGGTGTGGTGGCTCACATCTGTAATCCTAGCACTTTGGGAGGCTGAGGTGGGCGGATCATTTGAGGCCAGGAGTTCAAGACCGTCCTGGCCAACATGGTGAAACCCTATCTCTACAAAAAATACAAAAATTAGCCAGGCACAGTCGTGCATGTCTGTAATCCCAGCTACTAGGGAAGCTGAGGCAGGAGAACTGCTCGAACCTGGGAAGCGGAGGTTGCAGTGAGCCGAGATGGTGCCATCGCACTCCAGCCTGGGTGGTAGAGCAAGAACCTGTTTCAAAAAAAAAGAAAAAAACATTAGCCAGGTGTGGTGGCACATGCCAGGAGGCTGATGTGGGGTGACCCCTCATCCCAGGCTTCAGTGCACTGCACTCGAGCCTGGGCAACACAGCGAGACCCTGTTTGAGTCCTTACGGACTTAAGAGCTTTGAGAGCCTGTGTCCTCGCATGAAACTTCCCCCGTCACTGCGTCAGGGTTTGCTTTCCAGGACTGCCTCTCACATGGTTTGTTACATAAATGTCTGTTCGTATGAATAAAAGACTGGATGTTTTATAGGATCTAAGTAAGGTCCGCACATTTTACTGACATGTCTCGTTGTTTTATTTATCATCCAGCTCAAAATGTCAGTTTTTTTAATCTGTGAGTTCTGCCTCTCTCCTTCCCATTTTGAACTCTGCTGATGAGCCTGTCCTTGGCCCAGTACAGTTTCCCGCAGGCTGGGTCATACCGTGTCCTCACGGTGCTGTTGAACATGACCCTCTGTCCTTGTCATTTAGATCTAGAGGCTTGATCAGATTCAAGATTGTTTTGGCAAGAACTCTTCTAGGTGCTGCTGTCTTTAGACAGCATCCAGCCATTCCACTCCAGCCTTAGAAGGGACAGAGCTGTCTTTTGTGATGTTAGCAGCCACTGACATCAAGGCTGACATTAGGGACTGCAAAATGGTGACTTTCAAAGGCTAGCGTTCCTTCCTTGTGTATAAGCTGGAATCCACCTGTGTAAAGACAGCCTTCTCGAACTCTGGGCTACCGGGCAGCACTCTGCACGGGAAGGCACTGCCCTGATCCCTGGGCCACCGGGCAGCACTCTGCACGGGAAGGCACTGCCCTGATCCCTGGGCCACCGGGCAGCACTCTGCACGGGAAGGCACTGCCCTGATCCCTGGGCCACCGGGCAGCACTCTGCACGGGAAGGCACTGCCCTGATCCCTGGGCCACCGGGAAGCACTCTGCACGGGAAGGCACTGCCCTGATCCCTGGGCCACCGGGAAGCACTCTGCACAGGAAGGCAGAACACTGCCCTGATCCCTGGGCTACCGGGCAGCACTCTGCACAGGAAGGCAGAACACTGCCCTGATCCTTTGACTTTATTTGCCTTTTTGCAGAGTAATGAGTTGACTCCCTAGCACTCCCCCAAGGTAGCTAATAATTATTTAATGCCACCGCGAACTCATGGTTTGAAATACAGTGATATGTTTAATCCATTGCAGTTACTCTTCGGTAGCAAGTTGTTGAATTGAGAATTTCGTTTTTGTTTAGTTTGTTTGGAGATGGAGCCTTGCTCTTTCACCCAAGCTGAGTGCAGTGGCGTGATCTAGACTCACTGCAACCTTGACCTCCTGGGTTCCAGTGATTCTCCTGCCTCAGTCTCCCAAGCAGCTGGGACTACAGGTGCGCGCCACCACGCCTGGCTAATTTTTTGTATTTTTAGTAGAGATGGAGTTTTACCGTGTTAGCCAGAATGGTCTCCATCTCCTGACCTGGTGATCCGCCCACCTCGGCCTCCCAAAGTACTGGGATGACAGGCGTGAGCCACCGCCCGGCCTGGAATTGAGAATTTACTTGTGACAGAATATTGAAGCAGTGGTGAATGACGAACGCTACAAGTTAAATTCAGTAGGGCAGGAGGTCTCATCTAGTAACTCAGGCATACCCATGATGTCAAATCACAGCTTCCCACTTCGCAGTTCAGAGCACTCTTGATTAAGGTTCAACAATTATTTTAATACTAGGCCAAAAGAGATCCCTCACAGTGATGCCAGTTAGGAGACAGTTGGGTTTTTATCTTGTTGCTGGGTCTTGTCCCGGGATTCTCTGCCCCATCTGAGTAAAGCATTGTGGGATAAAGGAATTTCTCAGGGCCAGGAGCTTCTCAAGTTAAATCACTAGAAATTTAGGTATGATCTGGGCCTTCAAATGTGTGAGAAGCTGTATCCTTTTATTTCTCACTGTATTTTCCCCAACTTCTAGTTGACAAGAAACCATTCTTGAGGTCGGGCGTGGTGTCTCATGCCTGTAATACCAGCACTTTGGGAGGCGAGGTAGCTGGATCGCCTGAGCTCAGGAGTTTGAAACCAGCCTGGCCAACATAGTGAAACCCCGTCTCTACTAAAAATACAAAAAATTAGCCAGGCATGGTGGTGCACGCCTGTAATCCCAGCTACTTGGGAGGCTGAGGCAGAATTACTTGAACCTGGGAGGCGGAGGTTGCAATGAACTGAGATTGTGCCATTCCACTCCAGCCTGGGCAGCAAGAGTGAAACTCTGTCTCAAAAAAGAATTTTATTGAAGAGTGTTTATATGTGGGAACGAAGGCAGTATTGTAAGATTTCAAGTCATCCTTAAACAAAATGACCCACCTAAGAACCTGGTCCGGTGAAATCAGCTGGCGTTAGTTCCTCCGAGTTGTTTATATTCTGGTGTCCTTGTGTGTGAGTTATTCATTTATAGTCACTGTATCTCTTTTAAAATAGAAAGTGTTTTTATTATGCATGTCCTTTCAGATCCCACCTGTAGCTGATACTTTGAATCGACCACGTCCAAATCTGAGCATCTTAAACTTCAGCAGGAAGCCGTGAGTTAGTAAGACCTTTTCCGTTCATGTATCAATTTCGGAAGGAAACGGAAGTGAATATTCTAAATAGGGCTTGTTGGTATTAATCTGCCTTTATGTTTGGGGGAAAAAACGCTGAGAACATTGCATGAAAGATGATGCAGGGTATACACTGATCTTTGCTGTTAAAAATGGGGCCGAGGGCCGGGTGCAGTGGCTCACGCCTGTAATCCCAGCACTTTGGGAGGCCGAGGCGGGTGGATCACGAGGTCAAGAGATCGAGACCATGCTGGTCAACATGATGAAACCCCGTCTCTACTAAAAATACAAAAAAATTAGCTGGGCGTGGTGGCGCACGCCTGTAGTCCCAGCTACTTGGGAGGCTGAGGCAGGAGAATTGCTTGAACCCAGGAAGGTTGTGGTGAGCCAAGATCGTGCCATTGCACTCCAGCCTGGGTAACAAGAACGAAACTCCGTCTCAAAAAAAAAAAGAAACGGGGCCGAAATAGTGTGAGCTGTTTGAACATTGTCCTGTTCTGTCACTTTCTTTGTCATTTAATTATAGTCAATTTTTGAATTCCTGTCATACGAGACCTTTTTCTATCTTTTAACCTTTTGTTACCTGCGGTTAATAAACCCTGATTATATGGTCCTTCAAAAAAATCCCTAACAGTTCCACTTATGAAAGAAGTAAACCCCAGTAAGTATTTGTGTCCTGGTAACTTACAGTGGACGTCTAGAAAAACCGATGTTCATCTTACTCGTTTATCCTGGGATGGTGCCTTCAGCTTGGAATCGGATGGAACACCGCCACCCTCGCAAAGATCTTTTTCCATCTTGACCTTCACGGGAATTGCTTGTTGAGTAACTGCCACAACCCAGCTTTGCAGAGAGGATATCTTAGGAAGGAATGAAGCAAGGTAATGCCCGTGTGGAGGCTGTGCACGGCCTTGAGCAGAGCAGTGTGACTGGTTCCCTCAGAACCGAGGATCTGGGGGTGCCCTGTGGGTTCATGGGAGCACCTCCGTGCAGTCTGGGAACCACAGCCCTGCGTCCTTCCCTGTCCCTCTTGATCAGTAGAAATTGCCCCTCCCTGGCCTGCACGTCGCTGGGTGGCACAGCACGGTCTGCGGGTGCACAAAGCCCTACATGGCCTGTGCCACCGCCACAGGTGTTCCCTTGGGGCCATCCGTGTCCAGCCGTGCCGCTTACAGGACTTTTCCTTCATCTTTTAATTTCAGCCACATCAGAGTGCGTGACCTGGCTCAGATGTCAATATGACTGTTGTTACGTGTCTTTTCCTGTGTCTGCGACAGGTTAATTTAACGCAAGAACGCTGCAGGTCCTCAGGGCTGGTGTAAAAACAGCTCACCCTGATGCGATAAAGCAGTCAGCTTTTCTTGTTGCCATTGGCTGCCAGCACCCATTCTTTGTGGATATGAAAACGCCACAGGTGCTGCACTTCCTCCTCGGGCATTCCTCAGCACCCATGCCTGTCTGCAGAGCGGGGCCCAGGATGGAAGGCGTGTACCCCACTCTGTCCCCTGATGTGGAGCTTGGCCCTGCAGCTTGACAGCACCCATGGAATGTGGACAGAAGTGACAGCAACCAGCTCTGCCTCTTCACTGAGGCAGCACATGTTCTGCTTGTGCCCTGGGAGCCTCCACCTTCCACACTGTGGGAAGAGGGTGCCCAGGGAGCTGCAGTCCCTCCAGCCTAGCCCAGGACAAGGCCGGGGAGCAGAGCCATCCCAGCTGACCTGCACCTCACAGCCCTGCAGGTGTGGGGGAAATGCGTGTTGTACACACTGAGTTTTCAGGTGGCTGTTACGTGGTGGCATTGCCTGACACGGACAGAAAAGAGATCCACCAGGGAGAAGAGAGAGTCTGGAGACCCCGCATCGAAGAGGCCACAGGCTGCAGGGGAAGGATGGCTGCTTAGAAGGTAAAATGATACTTTTGGAAATAACGTCATCCTTTCTGACAGAGAAAGACATGGAGGCTCCAGATGGTTGAAGGCCCAGCAGTGATCCCAGGAGGGCCCCATGTCAGACCAGGCTCCTTCAGGGTTGTGCTGCCTTCGCCAGGGCCTGTCCGGAGGGCAGCCACACGGTAGGCGGCGCTTGCCATTTGTACAAGCGAGGCCCAACTTCCAGCCTGCCTTCTGGCAGGCAGAGGAAGCAGGGGCACCGTGCTTCAGAGGTCCCAAAAGCAGATGGGGCAGCATTTGGTCAAGAGCCAGGAGGGGATGACAGACCAAAGGGGAACCCTTGTCCCATGTGCTGAGGGCCGGGGGGCTGGAAACCTGCTCTGTGAGCTCTAATTGGTGTCCCTGTGCCCCACCGGAAGGTGCACCAGGTGTCATCTTTGGTGGAGGACAGTGGCTGCCCTCTAGCCTGGCTCCCTTCCCCGTGATGCGTCACTGTCACACGTGTGTCCAGGAAAGGAAAACACGAAAGGCAGAGGACCAGTCAGTCCCTACGCCAGATGTGTGGCTTTGCTTAGAGACTGGATTTTGATATGCTGCTAGACTGAGATTGGAAACAGGAAAGAACCATCATGGAAACCTTTGGGAAAGCCTGCAGCAGGGCGTCTGGCAGCCTGAGGAGTGGCGGTTTCTCCGTCCCGTAGACGGCGTCTCATGGGGAGGGACAGATGAGTGCATGAGCGCTGCCAGCCAGAGGTGTCTGTCAGCGTCTATGGAATGGGGTGCCCATCTTGAGCCAGAGGTGTCTGTCAGCGTCTATGGAATGGGGTGCCCGTCTTGAGCCAGAGGTGTGTGTCAGCGTCTATGGAATGGGGTGCCCGTCTTGAGCCAGAGGTGTCTGTCAGCGTCTATGGAATGGTGTGCCTGTCTTGAGCCAGAGGTGTGTGTCAGAGCGTCTATGGAATGGGGTGCCCGTCTTAACCCAGAGGTGTGTGTCAGCGTCTATGGAATGGGGTGCCTGTCTTGAGCCAGAGGTGTGTGTCAGAGCGTCTATGGAATGGGGTGCCCGTCTTAACCCAGAGGTGTGTGTCAGCGTCTATGGAATGGGGTGCCCGTCTTGAGCCAGAGGTGTCTGTCAGCGTCTATGGAATGGGGTGCCCGTCTTGAGCCAGAGGTGTCTGTCAGCGTCTATGGAATGGGTTCCAGTCTTGTTGAAGCTGGTTTCCCTTCCTATTTTCAGACCCCACTGGTCTTGCCTTCTCCTTCATGGCCAGTTTGCCAGACCCAGCACTTTCCCGACTTTCGACCTTGGCCTCTGCTTACCCTCACCCCGAGGCCTCCCGCAGACCCCATTTTATTCATTTCCTGCTGTTCTCATGCCTGGATCCCACCTGGGCCTCTCCCAGGCCTTCCAGGCCCTGGTCCACCAGCGGGGACCACAGACTCCTACTCGAAGGGCTGTCCTTGGGAGGGCCAATGCAGCCCCTTCCAAATGGGCAAGACCCAGGGGTGGCTCATTTGGACCTCTCAATGTTGATTCATTTAGCAAAAGAGGACTCAGATTCAGTAAAGGCTGGTGAGACATGACCATCATCCCCGCTGTCCGGGAGCCCTCAATCCAGGCACACACATCTTCTGAAGAGGAGGCAGAGGCTGGGGTGACGCAGCCACAACCAAGGAAGACAGCCCACAGAAACTGGATGGCAAGGAGGGTCCGCCCATAACCTGCAGGAGGTAGAGCAAGGTCCTGCTGTCATCCTGACCTCAGACGTCCAGTCTCCAGAAGTGAGAAGATCCATTTCTATTCTTGTAAGCAACCAAACTCGTGGTAGTTACAGCAGCCTCAGGAAGTGAATACAAATGTAAGCTCGAAGATTCAGAGAAATGAGTGGGTGCAGTGGATCACGACTGTGACCCAGCATTTGTGTGAGGGTTGCTTGAGGTCAGAATTTGGAGACCTTGTCTCCACGAAAAACTTAAAAACTACGCCAGGTGCAGGGCCTCACGCCTGTAATCCTAGCACTTTGGGAGGCCAAGGTGGGTGGATCACTAGGTCAGGAGTTTGAGACCAGCCTGACCAATATGGTGAAACCCCGTCTCTACTAAAAATACAAAAATTAGCCGGGCGTGGTGGCACACGCCTATAGTCCCAGCTACCCGGGAGGCTAAGGCAGGATAATTGCTTGAACCAGGGAGGTGGAAGTTGCAGTGAGCCGAGATCACACCACTGCACTCCAGCCTGGGCGAGAGTGAGACTCTATCGCAAAAAAAAAGAAATTACTGGGTGTGGTGGTGTGCACCTGTAGTCCCAGCTACATGGGAGGATTGCTTGAGGCCAGGAGTTCAAGACCAGTCTGGGCAACACAGCAAGATCCCATCTCTACCAAAAATTTAAAAATTAGCCAGGCATGGTGGCATACCCATAGTCTTAGCTTCTCAGGAGGCTGAGGAGGGAGGATTACCTGAGCCCAGGAAGTCCAGGCTATAATGAGCCATGATTTTGCCACTGCACTCCAGCCTTGCCAACACAGTGTAAGACCCTGTCTCAAAAACAACAGAAACTCAAAAGAACCAAGAACTGACTGGACTGGAGGCCTGGCCTTCAGCTGCTGCCTGGCCCTGTGACCTGGTCACTCAGGATCCCCTGGGCCTAAACACAAAGCCTATTGACCTCAAGAAAGCTCCTCTGCCTGACCGGCCACTTGGGGTGGGCCTTATGGCCCCACCTGTCCTGGCCCCACAGTGCTGCTGCTGCACGGCCCCCGCTGCCTGTTCTGAGCCCCAGCCTCCTGCAGAGTTCCCTGCACCTGACGGCAATGAATCAGGAAGGCAGGCGTGTCCGGACCACAGAGCAGCCATGGCTGTGCAGCCACCAGGGGGCTCCATTTGTAACCCCGGATGTGGCTTTGGTGTCTTACTCAAAGGTGACCTTGTAAGAGACAGGGAGATGGGAGCCCAGTCCCACCCTTCTGCACATACCTTGCCCATCCCTGTCCTATTCCAGAAAATGGGCGCAGCTGCATATGCAAGGGACACAGGAACCTTTGGCCTTGTTATCAGACACTTTAAATGCAAACATGATTAACAGGTGCAGTTTTCACAGCAGCAAGAAACTTGTGCCCACAGAAATAAGCACATTCCAGCAACCTGCCTGTGCGGAAAGCCACACAGCGCCATTGTTTTTGGCACCCTCAGGTGACAGGGCACACATGCCCCAGGGAAGGTCACAGTTGCCTGAACCTTTAAAACTCCCAGGACTTGCACTGTGTGCAAGATCGGGAGCCCAGCGGCACTGCCAGGGCCTTGAAGTGCTTCTTAGAGACCTCTCTTCATAAACTGCTTATTTTCTTAAAGCAGGAAAAGGCGAAAATTGACATCAAAGGATATTCTAGATTCTTGACAGCATTCGAGGATAGCAGCAGCATCTCAGGTGAGCGCCGGTGGAGTCCCTCTGGGTGACGGGCGGGTCTGGAACAGGGAGGGAGGCTTAGAGTCTCGTGCTAACAGCAGAGACTCTAAACGTAGGGGCTCCAGCGTCCCTCCAGGCGGGTTTTCTGGTGGGTGGAGTGACTCAGGGTCCTCTATGTGGTGCCAGCTGCTTGGCTTTCTGGACATTGTAGGAAAGGCTTGCAGGGGTCTCCCCTGCCTGTGTCGCCCTGACCTTGAGCTCCACCAGCCCCTGCCAGTTGGGCTCCAGGAGGCTTGAGTGCTGTGGCAGGGATGACAGCTCACTTCTGCCATGTCTCTGCACCCTGTGCTCTCCCAGGATGAGGGCCATGAGGCTGCTGGGGGCACTGCTGGCACTGGCCACCCTGCTGCAGGTGGCTCTGTCCCTGAAGATAGCAGCCTTCAACATCCAGACATTTGGGGAGACCAAGATGTCCAATGCCACCCTCGTCAGCTACATTGTGCAGGTGAGGCCAGGGTGGCCTCTCCCCAAAAGCAGAGGAGCCCCGGAGTCTGGAGCTGGTGGTGGGGGGGTGCAGAGCCTGAAGCCCAGCAGAACAGGGTCCTGGCTGTGGGCCAAGGTCCTCCTCCCTGCTGTGTTGTCCATAGCTGGCAGAAGGAGCCTGGGCAGAAACATGAGGCTGTGGCTTTGTGGTGCTGTGGGGTCCCTGGGTGGCACCAGCCCTGCTCAGCACTGCTGTTGCCCTGCCTCTAGATCCTGAGCCGCTATGACATTGCCCTGGTCCAGGAGGTCAGAGACAGCCACCTGACGGCCGTGGGGAAGCTGCTGGACAACCTCAATCAGTGGGTGACAGTGGCAGGCTCCTAGGGAGGTGACATCCCATCCAGGCACAGCCTTGCTTCAATTGGGCCCCAAGGGTGGGGACCTGGGCAAAGCCCTGGTGTTGGCAGCCACAGGGGTCCCTCATGACCCTCATTGAGACCTTGTGTTTTTTCAATCCAGGGATGCACCAGACACCTATCGCTACGTGGTCAGTGAGCCACTGGGACGGAACAACTATAAGGAGCGCTACCTGTTTGTGTACAGGTGGGTGGTCCAGAGAGCGAGGAAGCCCCTCCCTCATCTGGGGGGGGGCCCAGCAGAGCGGGTAAGTAGTTTTTCCTATGGGGCAAGAACCTGAGGTGGCAGAGCAGGGTCCAGAGTGGAGTCAAAACATCCCGAGGTCAGGGATCCATGGGGTGACCAGGTGCCTTTCATAGCCAGTGGACAGGCAGGTGGGCCCAGACCCCGCCCTCCTGGGAAGCCGGACTAGGGCAGCCCCAGTCACCTCCTGCCTGGCCTTCCCGCAGGCCTGACCGGGTGTCCGCAGTGGACAGCTACTACTACGATGACGGCTGCGAGCCCTGTGGGAACGACACCTTCAGCCGAGAGCCGGCCATCGTCAGATTCTCCTCCCCTTTCACAGGCGAGTGCTGCCTGGGCCAGGGTGGAGCTCCACCCACTCCTAGGGCACCCGGAACACCTGTGTAACACACTGCCCTCCCAGTCCCTGGGGTTTTCCATTCAAGTGGTTTGGAAAATTACCCCCGTTGGGGGACTGTCCTAACACACAGTTCCAGCTGCCATGGTGACTGAATCTGCCCCCAGGGAATGTGGCTGCTGCACAGTGTACCTCACATGACGCGGTGTCTCCACAGAGGTCAGGGAGTTTGCCATTGTTCCCCTGCATGCTGCCCCAACAGACGCGGTAGCTGAGATTGATGCTCTCTATGACGTCTACCTGGATGTCCAAGAGAAGTGGGGCTTGGAGGTGAGGCCATACAAAGGGCAGTGGGTGCCAGCGGCCTCCGTTGTCCCTGGGCCCACAGGCGGTGTTTCCTGGCAGGATATCATGTTGATGGGAGACTTCAATGCGGGCTGCAGCTACGTGAGACCCTCCCAATGGTCATCCATCCGTCTGCGGACAAGCCCCATATTCCAGTGGCTGATCCCCGACACCGCTGATACCACGGCTATGTCCACGCACTGCGCCTATGACAGGTGAGCAGGGCATCTCGGGGCGTCTCCAGGAGCAGCTGTGACTTGTACATCTGGCTTCAGAGGCCTTTGGACACTCACCCAACTGAGCTTCAGTCGATCCGTTCAGGGAAAATAGTAAAAAGAGCCACGATTTTCAGTTTTGGGGGAAAGCACATTTAGGGATGAGGGGCAGACATCCGGGCTGTGTGGTTGTGGGCATCCACAGACCTGCACTGGCTCCAGCTATGGCAGGGGGAGGTCCCAGAGTTCTTGGCTTAGTTCCTGTGGGCACTAAGCCAGGCCAGTGGGTGAAAGGGGATCCTGCTCTCTCATCCAAACACCCATCAGGATCGTGGTTGCAGGGACGCTGCTCCAAGACTCCGTTGTTCCCGACTCCGCTCTCCCCTTTAACTTCCAGGCTGCCTATGGCCTGAGTGACCAACTGGTACGTGTCCTCCCTTGCCCAGCCACATGGGGACGGGATACAGCCCAGACCCCATGCCCACTTCCCTGCAGGCCCAAGCCATCAGTGATCACTACCCAGTGGAGGTGATACTGAAGTGAGCAGCCCCTCCCCACACCAGTTGAACTGGAGGAAGAGAGGACCCAGCACACCGCAGGACCCACACAAAAAGCCCAATGCTCAGGTTAAGAAATACCTTTTAATTGAGGTAAATAAAGCTCAAGGATGTGGGGCTGTCAATCCTCCTTCCCCTGCCTGGGCAGAGGCCTCCGGTTGTCAGTGTCGCTCCAGGGCCTTGACAAGCAGCTCATTCAGGCGGCCCACCATGGCCCTGGGGTCATCAACGAGCCCAGCGGCTATCATGGCATTCTCGTATATCTGAAACACAAGGGTAGAACCCGTTAGGAGGTGCGCTACACCTTTTCCTTTTGAGATAGATAGTCACCCATTTTTTTTTCCGTCATTACCCAGGCTGGAGTACAACGGTGAGCTCTCAGCTCACTGCAACCTCCACCTCTCAGGTTCAAGGGATTCTCCTGCCTAGCTGGGACTACAAGCATGTGGCACCATGCCCAGCTAACTGTTATATTTTTAGTAGAGATACATTTCACCACGTTGGCCAGGCTGATCTTGACCTCAGGTGATCCACCAGCCTTGGCCTCCCAAAATGCTGGGATTACAGGCATGACCCACTGCGCCCGGCCCATTTTTTCCTTTTTAAAGCAGGATATTTGAGGAAACTGCCATTCCACCCGGAAGGCAGGGAAGTAGCCTGGGTCCCTGCAGTCACCCTAAGCTGTTGGACTCACCTGATCCACCAGCAGCTGAGCCAGGCCAGGTTCGCTCACCCGCAGCTGATTCAGCTTCTTGATGAGTGCATGCCTGCAACAGAGAACCCACCAGAGAAGGTGGCTCAGGAGCACACCCTGTGAGCCTCCCTTCATGTTCTAGAATTGTCAGAGTATTTAAAGCAGGACAGTAAGACTATCCAGTTTTTTTTTCCCCCATAGACTTAGGTGACATTGTTTTCTAAAGGTATGTAAATGATTATTTATAGATGATATGATTACATATTCAGAAAACCCAAGAGAATCAGGAGTTTCAATATTAGAAAATGCTGTAAGCTGGCCAAGTTCCAAGATTAATATACACAAAAGGGACAAAAGAGTTTAGTATAGGAAGACAGGCCTTGGTTCCTAGATCAATAATAAGAGAAGGGAGGAAGGTCCCCCGTGCTGAAACAGTATGGAGCTCTTACAGTTTCGTTCTGGAAAGGAGGAAGGGAACCAGCTCGGGGTAATGAGGGAAGAGGGAGGAGACGGAGCACTGGGATAACTGGTGAGCTGTGCAGAAAACCATTTAGACCAAGATGAATTCCAGAGGGATCAAAGATTAAAAGCATAATTCTAGGGAAGAAATGTTTTATAATCTGTCTTTCCAAGCAAAACAACAAACCCAGAAGCCAAAAACTGATATACTTATTTCATATTTTTCTGCATAGTGTGTAGTGTTTAACCTTAACATGAAAACTATAATTTGTCACTGAGGACTCTGGGGAAATGCAAATTTGCACAATCTCTCCAGAGGACAGCTGGAGTTGAGAAAACCACATGTGGATGATGTGCTCAGACTCAGCCACTCCATTTCCTAACTGCTTCCCTTGAAACACTTTTTTCATATGGAGCCTTATTGTTTTGCCCAGGCTGGAGTAAAGTGGCAGGATCTCAGCTCACTGCAACCTCCACCTCCCACTCCTGCCTCAGCCCCCCCAGTAGCTGGGATTACAGGCACGTGCCACCACGCCCAGCTAATTTTTGTATTTTTAGTACAGACAGGGTTTCACCATGTTGGCCACACTGGTCTCAACTCCTGCCTCAGCCTCCCACGTATATCCTCACATTTCTAGTCTATGTAGCTGGAAAAAAAGGCCATTCTTCATATGCTAATGTGGAGGTCAACTAGTTACCATAAGTGAGAAAAGCAAGGCAAGGACCCACTGCACAGGTTACCCCTTGTGTAACACAGAGGAAACCCACCTGTCCACAAGTGCACATAATCTCTGCAGAAATACATAAGAATTCTAATGCTGGCTATGCTGCGGACATGGATGGGAGCAAATTTTCCCCTGTAAACACTTGAATTCTGAGTTATGTGGACATAACACGAAATTTTAAAGCAAATGCAAGTGAAGTTGGCTGGGCCCAGTGGCTCTGGCCTGTAATCCCAGCACTTTGGGAGGCGGGAGGACCACTTGAGCCCAGGAGGGTGAGGCTGCGGTGAGCTCTGATGGCGCCACTAGTACACTCCAGCAAGACCCTGTCTCAAAAAAAGGTGAAGTCCTTTGGCAATAGACAGAAACGAGCACTTCGGCACAGCGATCTTATAAAACTAGTTAAAGTGGCTGGTGTCCACCTCACTGAGCTTCTCCAGCAGAGGTGCAGGCATTCTGCACACTGGCACTGCTGTGGGAAGGGGCTTACTCAGCAATGCCAGCCAGAAACTGAGTCAGCTTTTCTGCAGGAGTGCCATGGCTAGAAAATGGATCTCCCTCACCCGCAGTATAATTTTAAAAGTTATGGTTGTCATCTGGTCTTTGACAAACCTGATAAAAATAAGCAATAGGGAAAGGACTCCATGTTTAACAAATGGTTTTGGGGAAACTGGCTAGCAATGTGCTGTCACCTAACCCTAAAATTAACTCCAGATGGATCAAAGATTTAAACATAATACCTAACACCATAAGAAAACATAGGCAAAACCATCCAGGACATAGGCATAGGCAAAGACTTCATGACTAAAACACCAAAAGCAATGGCAACAAAAGCCAAGATAGACAAATGGGATCTAATGAAACTCCAGAGCTTCTGCACAGCAAAAGAAACCATCATTAGAGCAAACCAGCAACCAATAGAATGGGGAAAAATTTGTGCAATCTACCCATCTGACAAAGGGTTAATAACCAAAATCTACAAAGAACTAAAACAGGTAAACAAGAAAAAAGCAACCCCATTCAAAAGCAGGCAAAGGATATGAACAGACACTTTTCCAAAGACATATATGAGGCCAACAAACATGAAAAAATGCTAATCAAAACTACACTGAGATGCCATCTCACGTCAGTTAGAATGGCGATCATTAAAAAATCTGGAGACAACAGATGCTGGGAGAGGATGTGGAGAAATTGGAACGTTCTTACACAGTTGGTGGGAGAGTGAGTTGGTTCAACCACTGTGGAAGACAGTGTGGGGATTTATTTCTCAAGGATCTAGAAATAGGAATTCCATCCAACAATCCCATTACTGGGTATATACCCAAAGAACTATAAATTGTTCTACTATAGAGACACATGCACACATAGGTTCACTGCAGCCCTGCGTACAATAGCAAAGACTTGGAACCAACCCAAAAGCCCATCAATGATAGACTGGACAAAGAAAATGTGGCACATACACCACAGAATACTACGCAGCCATAAAAAACGATGAGCCCTTTGCAGAGACACGGATGAATCTGGAAACTGACACAGGACCAGAAAACCAAACACCACATATTCTCAATCATAGGCGGCTGTTAAACAATGAGAACACGTGGACTCAGGGAGAGGAGCAGCGGGTGGGGAGGGATAACATGGGGAAAAATGCCAGATATAGTATGCACCTATGCAACAACCCTGCATGACCTGTACATGTACCTCAGAACCTAAAGTTTAAAAAAAAGTTACGATTGTAACGTGACAAAAGAAAAAAACTATATACTATAAAAAACATCGGCTTGGTGGTGGCTCACACCTCTAATCCCAGCACTTCGGGAGGCCAAGGCAGATGGATGGCTTGAGCACAGGAGGTAGAGGTTGCAGTGAGCTGAGATCACCCCACTGTACTCCAACCTGGGCAACAGAGTAAGGCCCCATCTCAAAAATTAAAATACTGCTTAGGCTAACACTGGGGCGGTGGTAAGGCTATGGACTTTGATTTCCTTTTTGGTAACTTGTTTATGTACTTTCAGTAAAAAAAATTATTGCTATATACAAAATTTCTCCCAAAAAAGAAACTTTACCAGGAGGCTGAGGCAGGAAAATTGCCTGAACCCAGGAGGCGGAGGTTGCGGTGAGCCGAGATCGCGCCATTGCACTCCAGCCTGGGTAACAAGCGCGAAACTCCGTCTCAAAAAAGAAAAAAAAAACTTCACATACAACAGCAACAGTTAAACATGAAACTTTAAAACATCCATTAAGACACATCAAAGAATAATTCTTTAAAAACAGTACCAGAACCCTACAGAAGGTAAGGTACCAAAGTTAAAGACCTAATAACATATCTTCATGGTGCAAAGAGTGATACTGTGATGGTGCCAGTGCCCCTGAAAACTCAGTTAGGGAATCAAAACTATCTCTGTCAAACCCCAGCCGGCCAGGGGCAGTGGCTCACACCTGTAATCCCAGTACGGTGGATCACTTGAGGGCAGTTTGAGACCAGTCTGGGCAATATAATGAGATCTCACCTCCACAATTTTTTTTTTGAGATGGAGTCTCACTCCCACCCAGGCTGGAGTACAGTGGCACGATCTCAGCTCACTGCAACCTCTGCCTCCCAGGTTCAAGTGATTCTTCTGCCTCAGCCTCCCAAGTAGTGGGGATTACAGGCACGTGCCACCACGCCCAGCTAATTTTCTGTATTTTTGGTAGAGATGGGGTTTCCCCATGTTACCAGGACGGTCTCAATCTCCTGACGTCATGATCCTCCCACTTCCTTCTCCCAAAGTGCTGGGAGTTTACTGTGAGCCACCATGCCCAGCTCCACAAAAAGTTTTTTAAAAAATTAGCCAGGCGTGATGCTGATGGTTCACACTCTCAGCTACGCACAAGGCTAAGGCAAGAGAATCATCTGAGCCCAGGAGTTTGAGGCTGCAGTGAGCCACGATTAAACGTCACTGCAATCCAGCCTGGGCAGCGAGTGAGACCCTGTCTCAAAAAAAAGAACACAGGAGAAACACATTCATGACTCTATAAATATTTCTTAAACAAGACCCCAAGAAGGCATCTAACAAAAACTTACATATTCTATTAAGAATACCAACACCTCAGATCTCATAAAAAAAAAAGAATACCAATACCTACTCATCAAAACATAAGGTAGGTGAAAAGACTTTTACAAAAGATAAAGGGTTCAAGAAAAAGGAGGGAAATAGTAGGCTCTGAAGGCCAAACTGGTATAAAGTGGCTGGGGATTCTCTGTCTAC